CTCATTTCACCCACCTCGGAAGGATGGAAGGCTGAGTCAACCTTGAGCCGGTGGGATTTGAACCGCTGAACTGCAGATAACAGTCAGCTGAAGTACTGCACCCTAACCACTGTGCCACCTTGGCTCCTTTTTTATTTTTTTATTTTTTATTTTATTTATTTTATTTTATTTTTTTATTTTATTTTATAATTTTATTTTATATTTTATTTTATTATGTATTTGATTGTTTGGTTTTGTTGTTTTGTTTTATAGTATTTTAGTTTATATTTTTACTTTTATTTGGTGTCAAACTCAATTTCATTGAGGGCCACATCAGGGCTGTAGTTGACCTCTGGGGTATGTGTGTGGCCAACTGCATGGGTGTGGCCAACTGTGTGGGTGTGGCCAGCTTGGCACCACTCCCCAAACTGTTGGCATGTTTCCTCTTTGCATTGGGTAGACTGGGCTGAAGCCACAATGGCCCGATCTTTCCTCTTCGTGTTGGGTTGACCCGGATGGCCCCGTGGGCCGGATCTGGCTACATTGTGGGCCGGAATGTGGCCCGCGGGCCGTGAGTTCGACACCCCTGCAATGCAGGAACGGCGTGTCCAAAAAAAGCTCTCCTGTTTTTCTCCCAATTTCCAAATGCAACGTCCAACATTCGCAGCCAGGATCCGAGGAACTCCACCCGGATTCTGCTCCGTCTGCTTATCCAAAAAAGCTCCCCAGAATTTTTGACCTTCTGCTCTGCGGCGTTTGCATTGATGTTTATTTCGGATTTTGAAGCGCCTGCCTTTCGGCTGTATCCTTGCTTTTACTGCCAGTCCTTGGCCAGGGATCAGGCAGTTCAGCCGGTGAATAACGGGATTTTCATCGCTGGCAATTAAGTGCGGAAACGTTGCCAGGAGAGCCGAGGGAGGGGAAAGTGTGCCGTGGTGAGTGATGAACGAAGCAAAGGTGCCTTCGTGGTCGCCAGAGCTGGCAACGTTGCCCGATAATTGGTCAGAGAACGTCAGAGACGGATGCGTGAGGCCGCTGACCGGCCCCCTGAAATGTGGCATTGATGGAACGTGGCCGAGAAGCATCAGTTGGCGAGAGAGCGGTCAAGCTGAGCCAGAAGCGTTCTTTGTGGGAGGAGAGCTGTAGTACAGGGGGGTCCTCAACTTACGACATCATAAGTTGTGAGATTCATAAAGCAGATCATGTGAGCGGCATGATTTTATGAGCTTTTTTTGGGGGGGGGGTGGCTTTGCCAAGAAACAGAAGTAAATTTCAGGTGTTGGCAAAGATGCCGTAAATCAGGGTCAGGTGACCAGAGGACACTGCATGTGGCTGGAAATGCAACGGTGGAATAGGAGATTAGTCAGGGAGGGAGGAAGGAAAGAAGGAAGGAAGGGGGTGAGGGACAGAGGAAGGAAGGAAGGAGGGAAGGAAGGAAGGAAGGGGGTGAGGGACAGAGGAAGGAAGGAAGGAG